AGTCTTTAGATCAGCTCATTCAGTAAAGACTTTTATCAATTCATGCACCCAAACTCTAACTTTTTCTGACATATGGAGTCTCACAACTTTCTTTTTTTGATCGTTATCCCACTGCTTAGATTCTGTGTACTTTCGAAATTGAAAAAAAATCCTCAAGATCTTCATCCTCGTTACCACGGTAAAACAGCTTCATCAAATCCTGCATAGTCATAGTTGATCATTATCAAAATGGTTCATTTGTATTTTCTTATTATTATTTGTTATTGATTCGCTTGTTTACACAGCTTTATTTGACACAATATTTAATCAATCCTTAATACTTGAACTTGCGTTGAATATTTAACTCCTTTATCCGTTCTTACGAGAGTAACTTGGCTTGGTTGCCCAGGTTCTTCTCTATCACGGGGTTATACAGTATCCAGTTTTCTGTAATCTAACTCAAAGGCACTCTGTCACTTTACACTAGAGATGTCGCACTAACACTTTGTTAGGTAAATACTCTTAGTTTCTCTTTAACACGGTTCTTTCTTTTTCAACGATTCCTAACTGCTTTCCTTTATTTATTATCTCTATTTATATTTATTCTAATCTAATTACATCATTTATGCATCCTTATACTTTAATAAACTTTTACTATTCTCTAATTACATTACATTACCGTTATTGTTTCGTTGATCGATGATCACGTGCCACGTGATTCTAATAATGCTTCTCAACACTATCGTAATGCTGCCCGTTCGTACGATCACGTGACCCGTCGAAATACATCCTCGACTTTGCTTCACTCTTTTGAGTCCACTATATAACCCATTATCAACCAACATTTCTCACCAAGTACATGGGCTGTCTAGAAACCATGTGACACTGACAGTTTATCTTATCAATAGCTTATTTCACTAACCGATTTTAAAAAATTGCACTAACCTTAGTCTGTAGTTGCATCCTAACTCTAAATTTTAATAAAAACAGTATTAAACCATAAACACTATTGGTGCATTTTAAAATTTCTGATTTCAAATCCTATAAATAAATCCAAATTCTTATGAGTCCCTGACTCAAACTATGCACCTCATGTCTGTGCTTCTGATATTTATTTTATTATAGTTCAAGGAACTTGATTTTATTATACTGTAACTTTGTTTTATTGTGTTTCAAATATCATATTAATACATAACCTTTAATATGATTATGCTTTTAATTATTAATAGATCAATATGATTTTACTAAATAATTAATATATCCTACATACTATTAAACTATTAAGATTTCTTATATTTAGGCTTTTCAAATATAATTAAAATAGGGTACTATAATGAAATGAGTATTATTAAAATGGGATGAGAAATTACCAAAATCTTATTGGTAAAAAGATTAAGAATGTGGAACACGTATAAATCTGTTTGGAGTATCAATAATATAACCCGTTACTACATCTTTTGTAGATATGTCATCGAGGAATTTCTTCATTTCATCAGGAGATTTATTTCCGCTAGATGCAATAATCAAAGCAACTGCTCCAGCAACTATTTAATAGAAAGATTAAGATGAATGCTATTATATGAAAAAAAAATTCGGTTAATAGAATATTTATAATCACAAACCGTGAGGGGATGCTTGACTGGTTCCTGTAAATGCTATTAAATCTGTAGATGACCGATTACCGGCTGCAGTAATATTTGTGCCTAGTTATAAAATAATAATAAATTATTGTATATGTAAAAGTATTTATTGTTCATTATTACTGATTTGTGGAATCTAGTTTTTTTTTATTTAAATCTTTAATATTTTAAATACAAATTACTTCCTGCAATATGCCATGTGACCAATTCCACAAGTCCGCCGTTAATGCAAGTTTTAAGTTATTACCTGGTGCAAAGATATTAACACATATTCCAAAGTTTGAAAAGTCTGTGATGCTATCAGTATTAGTCTCAGTAGCTGCAACTGTTATTGCATTAGGTGCTGATTGCGGTGTGAATAAACAAGCATTTGTTGCAGAATTTCCAGCAGCGAGAACAACATGGACACCCTTTAAACCTACTTCTGCAGTCGCATTATTTAAAACGAATGATGTATCAAAAAAGCCTATGGACATACTATTAAATAGATTAATTAAGTTTTTTTACAGCATAATAATTAAATATAGAAATGTTAGTGTAGATAAAATATTACTTAATTACTGTATTCTTGTTAGAGCTATTCATATGTTCTTGTCCTATAAAGCTAAATGCTGTAATAATACCACTGGTATCACAAAATCCTCGACCATCGCACACCTTAACGGAAATTAGAGACACATTTTTTGCTACACCAAATTTAGTTCCTGAAATAATTTCAAATTCAGAGACAAGCATTAAGAAAATTTTATAATAATATTTCATTGATAACCTTTAATACCTCCAACCTATTAATAAGATTTAAGTTTGTTAATAAATTATAAAGAGCAACATGTAAAATCATTAAAACCAGAATGAACGTTATTATGATGCTAGTGTTTTCAAATAAAATTTATAATACTCACAATCCCTGCAACATTTGATCCGTGACTTTTTTTAAAAAAAAATTTTTAAATGAATGTTATTTAAAAATTATTTATTATGAGTAGAAATCAAAAATGGATACCCATTATCATCGTAAGGCGGACATCCTTCACAGAAAACAGGACCGAATATTGCCCGTCCTCCAAATTCTGTATGATTTACATTAATACCTCTGTATATAGAAAATAGCATTTATTAGTGTATAAATAAATAATTGTTGTTATATATTTTAATTAGTATTGCAATCAATAACTTACGTATCAACAACATAAACATTTACATTAGAACCCGCACTACTAGGAAAATTATATATTCCATCCAATGGAAGGCTTGGTTGGTCAATACGATCCAGATTCTAAAAATTTAGGTAAAGAATCATTAGCATTGTTTATTCGGGTTATTTCAAATAAAACAAAGAACTTGAGTAAGGTTACGTTAGGAATTGTAGAAGTTTCAGTAGTGGGAGTTCGCATTGAATTAATATTAAATTTTATATTACGCTCTACATTAGCAACCTCAGGTAAACGAGCCAATCTAGCAGCATCACTAGGACCAAATTTTCCGATGTAGCAAATGAATGATCCAAAACTGACATCTTTAATAATGCTAGGATTGCTTGATTGAATCGTGAAATCATTACTAATAATTTTATTAAAACAAGATATTAACATTGCATAATGATTATTTATTACATCTCTTGAGGCCGTTGAGGAGAGTTGAATAATAAATGTTTGAAGGGATTCATGAGGATTTGGAGTTAAGGGACAGTTGAGCGATTCAACCAAAGTGATTGAACAAATAATAAAAATGGAAATAATTTTAGGGAAATAAGGAATAACAATCATGTTTAATTTTTAATAAAAATAATATCAATGATTGGTAACAAGTATCCAGAATTAAGCGGTGAGTGTGTAAAAAAAATAAATGAATAACCGTATAATGTACTGTACGAGTAAAAATTTTGAAATTCTTATAGTCGCGCAAACAACATTTCAAGCAAGGAATATGGGACAACAAAAGGATTTCTGACAACCGAATCGATAAGTTATAGAGTTAGTTACAAATGTTAGCTGAAAACAAAAGCTTATCGATCCGGTCTTGGTCAATTTTGTACAAATCATTCAAAATTTCGATAATAAAGTCACTCATGAAGTAAAAATGCACAGAATTTTTAATGAAGTCTAAAATTCAGATCAGCCGGTCCGAATTATCGTGCTTTTCGAATTACTGTGATCGGCAGATGACTATCACAAGAAAATTTTGAAATTTCCTTAAATTTTTCATTTTTTAAAAAAAATTATCACACAAAAAGTCTCAATTCCAAAGTTTTCTTGCCCAATTCCAATTATTTAGCATAATATCCATTAGTGTACTAAACCTTGTCTTGTTTAGTCAAGTGGTTATAAAAATTTCCAGTTTTTTTAAAAATTTTCTTTACGTATTTTTAGATCGCTAATGTTGAAAATTAAAATTGGTTCAAATTAATTAATAAATAAGGTAGCTGCGAGATGCCATCGCACTAAAAGCCAGGAATGTAAACAACAATATTCAAAGAATGGAGTGATATTAAAAATTTAACGAAGTATATGGTTATATCGAAATTAAATGGTGTGTGTTCCGCGTCGTTACGGAATTTAGGTCGATCCGGAATTGGCACGTGTCATTGGGGTATTCGGTCAACTATGTTCGTCAAAACTATATGCGGTATCATATAAAAATTAATTATTAAGGATTTTTTTTTGAATTTATGATTAGGATAGTGATCAGGTTATTTATCCCTTTTTATATATGCTTTAATAGTAAAAGATGACTTGCATGTTTTTAGATGTCTAGAGCGAATCGCTTTACATTTT